CAAATAAATTATCCTACCCTGAGATTCATCAATCATTTCACGTATTTTGAAGCTAAAAACAAAAACGAAAAAGGATATAAAAAGAAAAAGAGAAAAACAAAAAGTAAAATAAATCTATGTTTTGGTGGATATCTTTTTCAACAAATTTCGATGCAAAATGATAAGTTATCTACGTGATAATGAGTGATGATAAAATAAATCAGGATAAAAATAATTGTACAATTGGATCGGATATTATTATTTGAAGATAAATAAACAATCATTATCAATGATATAAATGTTCGTAAACAGCTTCGGGAATGAAGTTACGTGAGGTAAAAAAAAAATTAGTGAACTTAACGGAACTTACACTGATCATTCAAAGATGGAAAGTGCAAAGATTGAAATGTTATTAAGCTTAATACATAATAATAAACACCGTTCTGTCACTGTAATGCATACGTAAATCGTCATTCTCAAACATTACAATGCAAAAAGTGTAACAAAAATGAAAATTCAATGATAAAGACAAAAAAGTTGTTAACAATGAAGTTTAAAATAGTCGCAAATTGGTATATTATTAAAATTACTTGGACAAATTAAACTTTCTAAAATGTATAAAAAATTAAAAAAAAATTAAACACATAGTTAGCATCAAAATGATGCAGCTTTATGAATGAGGCATGAAAATACGTGAAAAAACACCAGAATCAAATATTTAAATACTCAAAATTCATTAATCGGTTTCAAGTTCGATAAAAAATAGCAAATGATAGAGAGTAATTGTAATGAACAGAATCCGAAATTAGCTGGAATAATGAATATGTCTGGTAAGTTACTTTTCAGGAAAATTATATATTCTAAGCTTTTAATCCTAAAAAATGCTATCGATATGCTTACTCTTTTTAATAAACAAATCGTTGTCATTTGTATTTGCTTAAAGGATTACAAACTTTTTCACAGTTATGAATGGAAATAAATTCAGCAGGTTGTTTAATGATGTTTTTCCTTTTTTGACAGATTCTTTTTCTAATAAGGAAGATATTAGAATAAACGATGATGTATCCGTTTTTGTATCTTCCGAAATCTCAGAAAATTAGAATCATTTCAGGATACTGTAGCAAATGCGGCAGTTATAGAATGTAAAATAGTATATGTAAAGTTATCAAAATTTCTTGTGTCTAGAAAGAAACGTAGAAAGACGTGATATCGGTAGTGCAGTTATCTTTTTCCACACATTCATAAAATACATAATATAACGTAATTACTTCGGAGCACTAAAATTCACTATATAAAATTTTATTATTGAATCGACAAAAATTCGGTTGTCAAATTAAATTTATTTTATTTGTATTTGAATCGTCAAAAAATTTTGACATTATGTTTTTTTATAACTTGACAGATTTCAGGGGATAATCAACCCAAATAGTTTAAATCGAAACAAAAACTTCATATGATTGCAATGAATTTGACAAATGGTTTGGAAAAATACCATTCTTTCAAAAACTCTTCGTTAAAATGCTGACTGTTCCTCGGAACATCTCTTCTTGTTGCAAACTGAAATTGAAATTTATGGTAGGTAAGCATAAAATGCTCAGATTAGATGATTGGAACTGATAGAGTGATAAGTAAACTCATATCATAAATGATCACTGGTTATCATACAAAAAAAAAGCAATCAGAATGCACGATGCAAAACACCATTTGTACTGAATCATTTCCGCTTCAATTTAGTTAACACATTACTCATTGAAATGCTCGATTAGGAATACTGATAGGTATAAGGACAACAATATAACTTCTCGACAGCTCAACTCTGGCATGAATGATGGAGAAAAATAATTTAGTATTAGAACTTTTAAACATGAATTAAATTCATTTTGTGCATTTTTCAAACTTGTAAGTAACATACTTCTAAATTTTGAAAACATTTCTCCTAAACGCATGGAAATGTATAATCGAGAAATAAAAATATCATTTATAAATGCCTCAGAATAGAAATTTACAATAAAACGAATTGCATTAAACAAAGATATGGAGAAGGATTGTGATGTCTTTTTTGCGGACTTTGCGGGTGTTGATGAAGATTGATGACTAAGTGAGAAAGAATTCAAGTATGAAGTTTGAATAAAAGCTGTCGATATAAACGGAAAGATCAGTGGAAGGATCTTAGGAACGAAAATATTTGATGTATAAAATTAGCATTAAAATATATCAACTTTTCATGATTATGAAATTAAATTAAAATAACTTATATTTAGCAAATCTTGAAATTAAACATTCAAATGACTGAGAATAAGGGAACGGAACAATCAAAATGATTATTTTTTAAATTAAATTAAAACATCAAAATATCTTATTTAAAACATCATATTTAATTTGGTAAAGTATTCAAAGTCAATAAGCTTATTGTAATTCATAGAAGAATTTCATCTCATCCGTATTTTGCCAGTATTTTTCCCATTATGAAAAATATGGGAGAATTTTATTGTTGCTTACAAATGACGGGAATGTTTAAAGTTTTGGAAATTTTCAAATCTTAACATTGAAATTTTATATATCCCTCAAGATATTGAAAGCCCAAAATCTTTAGTGGATATTTTAAATTCAGTTTAAAAATTAGAGTTTTAAAGTGAGTCATCCTTTTTTGAAAATGATAACAATTATGCTTCTATCACGCTTTTCTTCCATATACCATTCATTTATCAATTTTCGCAATAAAAATTTTTTGACTTTCAACTAATATTTTTTAAGCACATTTTTACGTTGAGTGAAAAATTTTCATATAGCAATTTGGAGGCGATATTGAAATAATAAGAATGAATTGTAATGTTTACTGAGTGACAGCAATTAGAGGAAGGACATCAGACAAATTTGAAATAACAAAGGATTTTAGAAAGAATGGAGGAAGGATTTGTTGAATTTTCGACAGTGAGATACATAAATGAAATGCACTCTTGACCGCATTTATGAGTTTCACATTTGAATGGTCCTCAAACTTCTCTAATGTAAATCTTTTAGAATAAAAGTTTGTTCTAATTTAACGGATCATTTTTGAATGGTTACTGTAAAGATCAGAGGTAAACAGGGAATCATAAACGAGTTCTTCCTTTAGATTTAAAGGATAATGGAGAGATGTGGTAAATAATTTAATACTATTCGTCAGATATAATATGAAGATGATATATGTGATAAATAATGAAATAAGATTATGTTGGATGAATTGACGTCAACGCTATAAATTTACAGCAAAAGAAAGATGGTTTATATGTTAAATGAAATTTGACTCAAAAAATGTTGTAATTAAATTATTCAAATAAAGCAATAAGAAATTAAAGCATTGAATCGGTAATGAATTAATCAGTAATAAGCAAAAAGCAAGGTAAAAGTTTTGTTTTCAAAGTCTTAAGACATTTTGTTATGCTCAAAATGATAATTCATAACATCGTTATTTCTTCAATCAAAGTTTTGTAGGAAATCTTACTTATACATTATTTAGGCTAATTGCTCTAAAGCTACTGTCTATTTTCATAAGATCAACTGATTTGAATATCTATGAAATAAATAGTATAACGTAACTTCTGATAAGGTTAAGGGTCATCAGCACTATTTTGACTTGAGAGTGCATTAAGCAATAACGGATGACCATACCAGTTCTATATATGGCATTTTATCCTTTTCATTATTAAAATATTTGAACTATGTAGTACGTAATCCTTAAGTCTCATACCATCAGGAATCATCGAATACCATCCCGATAATTCAGCTTTTCTAGTAAAAAAAGCTGAAGTGAATCCCCATTAATTTCAAAATCAATTCAAAAAATATAAAACAAATTTGGTGTAAAGTCTATCCGCTTTTGTTTGTTTAAAAATAATGACTAAATCATAACAGTGATGGGAAATTTTTAAATTACACTAATCAACAATGCAAACATTATTGGATTTGAGAATAGATTAAGTGAGAATTGAACGATTGATTGACTGATTGACTGACCGACTGACAGATACGATCAACAGAGAAATGATCTATTGAGGTGATCTATGAAAAGGAAGGAAGGAACGAATAACAGCAACATTGCGCAGTGCGCACATATCTCTCTTAAAAACCCAATGATTTACACAAATCAAATCAAAACATACAAATACATTGTAACGGAACTTTTTGTGGTGTTTAATAATGTGATTGTGCAAATTTCTTCGGTAAATTTCCTTCAACAATAATTAACAACTAAATGAATGGTTTGATTGACCAAGCAATAATTGATTGTTTCATTTTAATTAATTCACGAACTATTAGTTTGATCGACTAATTGAATGATTGATTAATTGGCTGAATGAATAATTATGTTTTTATATAAAATTTATTCCGCTCATTTATAATTCATATTTTATAAATTATTATTCCAAGTGCTTTTTTTTTTGTTTTAAACAGAATATAAACGTCGAAAGATTCACTTTATTATCAAATAACATTCCAATTTTTCTATCAGTTGATTTTACCATTGTTTCAATGTCAATATTTGTTTGTTATTCTTTGAGAAAATTTCCGAGAGGAGGAGAGAAAAGAATACATTGAGATCGAGATTTATAGAATAATGAAATAATCATAATAGTATTTGGAACTCAACAGGTCATCTGGATAGCATGTGTTATCATTACCACTATGAAGGAACGATTAATACTTATCATTCCTCTCATTTCCCATTGAATATTAACTTAGGAGAAAGGTTAACTCAATATGATAAAATTTTGGGAAATTCCAGACCATTAAACAAAACAAATCTCTTTATTACATTTTCAATCTTAAATTAATTTTCTTTTGTCCCTGATTTTAAATTATGAAAAAAAAAAGTCAGAAAAAATTGATTATATAATTACCCGTTCTGCTTGCTAACTGTTGAATAAAGGATTTTTTGGGAAAAATGAAAAATTTTTTTATAAAAAATCAACATTTCAGAGAAAAATTTTTTAATGAAAGTCAACCTTTCAAAAAAAAATTAAAAATTACTTTTTTAAAAATTAACCTTTCAATTCGTGATCGATACGTATCCGAGCTATAGCATTTGGTGAGTATTCCAATAAACGATTGAGAAATTTCAAGCATAAGCATATGATTTGTGCTCTTTCAGTTTGTTGAAGTTCAGTTGAAATTGGTTCCAAACAATAACTTGCACCAATTAGATCCTAAAATTTCCAAATACTGTAACCATCCATCCGGTGCGATCTGAGAGATCTCAAATAATACTCTGTGAATTTCAATAATTAGGCTCATTGGAAAATATATGAGTGCATACGAAATGAAATTTTTATTGTATTTTTTGATCAAATCCGAAACACATGAAGAAATTACATTTTCTAAAGAAGCTAATATAATTAAAACTTAGTCGCTTTATACTTTAAAAAAGATATCTTTGATATTATGAGTTTTTGAATGTACATTTGATAAGTGGTAAATTGATAAATTCATATCTTTAACTACCTATAAGTTATAAATAACGCTTGCTATCTCATCTGAATATGCTTTAGAATTCATTAATTATCGATAATTTTTGATTAAATTTTCACTTTTTTAAGATGAAATTATTTGTTTTCAATTACTGAAATGGAATGAGCCTTTAGTTATGTTGAAGATCAGAGGATGAGCAGAGAGAAGAAAGGACGAAACTGAAACCAAACCTGCCAGCAAAAAAGGCATTCAATTGCCAGTTCGAAACCATTTTTACTTTGTATTAATCGATTTAATAAATCAACTATGCCAACTGTATCCGTTTCTGAAATCAAAAATAAAATTCTATGAATATTTTTATTATTCATAAAAATTATTCAATAGCTTATGAATAAGGTTTTCTTTGGTGTGATCTATATTTAAATAAAATTTAATCTTACAAATACTTGCATCAATATTACTAACTTAAATACATATTAAATTCTCATTTATTAATTCAAGCATTTAACAAATGAAATGTTACAGATGTATAAATAGGATTTTCAATTCATCTCTCAAACAGTTAATTATTGTCTGGCTGTTTTATATGTAATTTCAATTTTTATCACTTTCCAACAAAATTTTCTTCATTTATTACATATTTCTGTTTCACATAGCACTTAATGACTTATCAAATGAATATGTTCTTAAATTAAATTTTACATCTGATTGCCAAAGCAAAATACAAATGTCAAGAAAGACGGAAAATTTTGCTGGAGAATGAAGAAAATTCAATTGCAGGTAGATTTGTTCACTTTTGAAAACAAGGAGCTAAAATTCATTTTGTGATAGATTCATTTCTAATATTCTAGTATTAGAATTAATAAGTGAAATTCTAAAATGTAAATTCCTATAATGTTCACCATCCTTCCGTGGTATTTCATTGACTATCTTCCTAGCTCATACAATACCTTTTGCAAGCGGTACCAACATTATAACACTATCAAGGTCGAGAAAAAAGTATATATTATTAAAACGACTAAAACAAACACATATGAAAAAGTTTACGATATATTTCCACACAAACATTAAATTTCCAACCTATATCATATTCAAAGCACATTTATTGAAACAGTCTCTCCAAAATATTTTTCACTTTTTCTCTCTTTTTTAAAATCGTTTTTAGGATGATAGCTAAAAAACAATATTTCAAAATGAACAATCATTCAATTTTTATAATTGTCAAGCAATGAATCAATCAATTAATTAGTTCCATAAAACGGATGAGACGGAAAATCACCCCTGAATTATTGGATAACTTAAAAAAAATTTTTTTTGGCATATTTTGTTTTTGTCATAGTTATAGTTTCTTTATTCCTTTCATTGAATACGAATATTTGCTTTAAAATGTTTGATTAATTCCCAGCATTTATTTATTTACTGTTACTACATTAGACATTTTTTATCAGGAAATAAGAGAATGAGTGCTATGGGAAAACACTGAAATGTTCATTTATTGGTTCCGCGTTTCGACTGCTTTTGTTAAACTAACTAATTGGTTGATCAATTGATCGATCGATTGATTTTTCATGAAAATTGAATTGCGTGTTTAATTTGAGAAAAAAAGGGAAAATCATTTAAATAATCTCAACTATTCGTTTTGTATTTATTAAGGATAAGAATATTAGAATGTTTATGATTTCGAATCATTGTTAAAGAAACTTTTATCCTAAAAATACGCTTAAATGTAGTGAGTAAATTGAATCAAAGGCAAATTTTTACAATTTCATCCTTCTGCTGGTCAACATGTAATGTATGTTATCGATGAAAGCAGAAAATGATTATATAGTTAGTTGTATTTGAAAAAGTTGAGTTAAAGCATTGGAAAGAATAAAATTGACATTTTATTTCAACTTCATTTGTCATCAAATTTTATGAAATCTGATCAATGATCTCTAAACATTAATTTTGCCAGACGAAATATCCATTTCCATTTAATTTGCTTAAACAAAATTTTTTTTTTCTTATAATAAATGATTGTGTACATATCGAGTTTGTTTGGTTAGAAATGAAGTTTATAGGTGAATTTTACTGTTTCATGTGTAATTTGTAATTTCTTACTCAATACAGTATCCACCATAAAATCTATCATATCATTTCATACTAATCAATTTTAGAATAGTTTAATTTAATCTCAATGTAAACTGTATGTAATAGATTGAAAATGAATATTAGTATAACATTATAGTCACAAAGCTTAATATTTCAATAAATTTGAATTTTATAAGGTACAAATAAATTTGTCATGGATGCTTTATTGTTGCTACAACAATAACAATAAAGATCATATATTCTATTTTATTTCAAAGCGATATATAAGAAAAAAATTTTTTTGCTCTAAGTGAATAGAAAACACTTTCATTTTATATGAATAAAAGTATCTGAGAGGGAATTTGAATCTGAGAAATCACAGGAAGAATGATATAAATTTTAGACATTCGTCTGAATTTCAATAATACTATTTAGTATTTCGACAATGCATTACAAAGTTTTCCTTATTAAGAAGTATACATATTAGATTATTAAAATACATCATGCATCATTAATCAGTGAATTTTGATAAATTCACAATTCGTAAATTTCAAAATGTTAAATTAGAACATAAAAATGAGAAAATTTTATTGCTCTAAGAGAGTAGAAATTTTAAAATAGCACATTCAAATATTTTAAAATAACACATCGTTCTTCGCAAAACGTAAAAATTTCCCTCGTTTTGCATAAAAATAAAACAAAAAAAGTACCATAAATATATTGTGTGAAATATTTTCCAGGACAGCGTCGAATTTCCTCCAACAATAAAGTATTATCCAAATCTTCTTCCTCCACCATTTTCACTGATCTTAGATAGCATGGAATGTTGGGAAAGCCTACTTTTCGCCACTGTTATTTTAAACGAACTTGTAAAATATAAGTTTAAATACGATCAGTGATTAGTTGATATATAATGAATGAATTTGATAAGTAACATTTGCGCTTTTCACTATCAACTGATACTTCTAATAGCAATAGTAATAGTAAAATGGTAGTAATTATTGTTGTCGTTGGTGTTGTTGTTGTTATAATTGTTGTAAATAGCTGTCGGCTGCTATAATAAAGATAAATTTAAAAATGTGCGACAAAATTAGTTTCCTTTGCGGTAACACAAACACAAATAGCTTTCTTTTTCTTTTAGTGCCGCCTTTCAAAAAAAAAAAATGGAAATAAAACTAAGGAAAGAAATAATAACATAAAGAAATTTTCGGATTGGATGAAAGTGATGAAAAAAAAAACTCGTTACCAGTATTATTTCACTATTTTTCTTTTTTCATAAAATGCCACATTTCCGAAATTAATTTCTCCTCGAAATTAGCTTTCTGTACAAATACAAATCCATACAGAGAGACGGACACACACACACACACACACACACACACACACACACACACACACACACACACACACACACAATTTGAATTATAAAATTGCATATTTTCGTTATTTATTAGAGACGGTATAATGTTTCACCAAGAAGATAAGCATTCAATTAAAACTTTGGAGGAACAAAATGGAACTTTTTTTACCGTTACTTCATAAAACGTTTATTTTATTTTTAATTATAAATATATAAATTGGGATTACAGCATTTACTTTCAATTTTATAATTAGAAAATTCAATTAATTGCTAACAAATGAATTAATCATCGAATGAAAAATATGTGAAATGAAATGAAATGAGCTATTAATAGACGCAAAGATTTGTGTGATATGATTCAGAGGTGTTTGTACTGATGACATACATGACCGCATGAATTGATAAAACTGATAAATAGTGCAAAAGTGTAAAATATCAAAAGGAGGAATAGCATAGATGAGTAAATAAGTAATTTTTTTAAAAATTGCAATGAATGAGAATTTGTCGCCAAATGGGCACCGTTAAGGCGGTATCGGTCAATCATTATCGCTTATTGGCCGATAGCATAGCATCGAGCATAATCGAGCAAAAAAATCTGCAAAATATTTTGATAATTTCAATCATATTTTATTTTTCAATTCAATTCAACAACTGTTATTTGACAATGAGTATTTGCTTAACAAATTATTTTCAAGTCTTGCAATCTGATCTAATTTACAAAAGACCAATTATGCGTTCAGCTCAATTTAATAATAGAATTAGCGCAAAATTATTTAAAGCAAAATTTAGAATTTGTTAATTATTAATCATATAAATTTAATAACAAAACATATATTTTTCCTGACACTTTTATTTTATTTTCTAATATGCATAGCGATGAAATATTGTTAAAATATTAATTGATGAATAGATCAATTCACAGTAATATAATATAAACAAATTATTTCAAATGAAATGAAATCATTTTAAAGGAGTCATTGCTTAGGATTCTAAATTATTTAAGCAAAACTTAGAATTCTTCAAAACAAATATGAAATTTTGGACCAAATTTAAAAAATTTGAGAATTTCTGGTAAATCACTGAAAAATCATTGAATATAAATGATATGGAAATCCGATATTAATGGAATATGCAAGAAGTTATTTTAACAGTTTTTTTTTTTTCAAGATCTAAATAAGATTTTAAAAAAGTGCACGCTTAGATATATCTGGGAACGATAAGCTAATTATTTAGGTGTTGATTAAAAATAGCAGAGTACAGAAGAATACAGAAGCTTTGAGCAGAGTAGATAAGCGCATTTGTTTTGTCATTATTCACTATTTTTTTTTACATTTAAGAATACATTTCAAAATTGTATTCTGCACACCAAAATATACGCATACATTTCAACAAATGATCACAGCATACTCCTATAAACATTAGCATTTTATGACAAAAGCACTCAGTATCTTTCAATTTCTATTGTATACTTTTAAAAATACATTATGAATATTTATAAGGAAATTTAAAATGCATTTAAAAAAGAATAGAATGAATAGTGACCTCCAATCATGCAATCATACTATTACGCCACTAACATCATGAATGGAATTGCAATCAGTTTTAGTTTTAAATTCAGTTCTATTTCAATTTCTCCAAATTTGATAATTTAAATCAAAATTTATAATGACTACAAATAGATCGCTGATAACAATTTAGAAATTTATCAAAATTACACTTCAGTTTTGTTAATTAAATTTGAATTTAAATTGAGAGATTACTGTACAAAGATTCAGTTTGAAGCATATTTTTCAGTAACGCCATCTTCCATTAATTTTCAATTTGTCAAATCACTTCATTTATTGCAATTCTTTCTTTCCATCACTTCTATTTTAACTGTAAATAAAATTTCACGTAAATCACAATAACATCTTTGTTATACTAATTATTTATATTGAACTTTTAGTTTATTTACACCAAATTAAACTTCTCTTCTTTATATTCAAATCGGAAATTAATTAAATTAACTTATCAATAAATCTAAAATTACCATTTATCTTAGAAGA